TGAATAAATCAAAAGTAAAAATAATACAAAAATAGATTAATTAACATAACCTTAAAAGATTAAGTTTAATCTATTGTTATCTCTTTCTCTCTTTCTATATCTTTCATTCATGTAAATTTTAATTACAAAAAAATAACCTCCATTTTAAACATATTTATGTTTACATAAATTAAATTATGATTTTAATGGAATTAATATAAATATGTAAAATCATTTACCTGGGTAAGTCCGGTTTATCAAAGCTAGATGATTTTAAAATTCCCTTGGGGGGTCGTTTCGAAAGATTTTCTGCCATTTTGAAAAGAAATTGATTCACAGTTGATAATTATAAAACATCTCGAATATTTATAAAGTCAAATTTTATCAATATTCTCACTTAAATTAGAAGTGATCGCACAATTGTTTATTAGCGACGAAAATTTATTAGCTTAATAATTTTGAATGTAAATTAAAAAATTATGAACTGTGATTGGTGCCATGTCACACATATCCTTATACAGGACAGAATTTATTACTTATGCAGTATTATCATTTATGCTATACTTTATTATTATTTAGTATTCTATTGTTTTCGAACAAATTACCATTAAAATTATTTTTTTAATAACAAAATTATTATATTATATATATTATTATATTATATATTTTTGTATTATATATATACTTTTTATATATATAATTTTTTTAATATAATAAATCGTTTATAAAATATAAATTATATAATAGTATAAAAGATTTTACATAATAATATATTAAATTAAGATTCAATTAGTAAACAATAAGTATTAATAGTAGTATTGCATTATATTACTAATAAGTGATTTTATATATTTTTTGATAATTTTTGTTTCATTTCATATATAATAATTTTTAATGATATTATTATTATTATATAATATAGAATAATTTTATTTTCTTTTCAATCTTTATAATTTTATTAATTTTATTAATTTTGTAAATGAATTATAAATAATAAAATTAAATATTATAATATGTATAGCTTTTTAATTACAATTTTACATACAATTACAATTTTAAAATATATTTAAGAAATAAATATGAAAATGAAAATAAATTCTTTTTTTCTTAGTTCATAGATCTTAAAGCAATAGAATGTAATATGAAATATACATTATACATACATAAAAAAAATCAAATTTTTTTTATGTATAAAATAAATAAAAGTTGAAAAATTCGTTATTTAAAAATATGAATTTTTTAAATATTTTGTATTATATATTATTTTATGTATGTAATTTAATGAATTAGCATATAAAAAAATAATAAAAAAAATAATATAAAAAAAATCTATGATTGAATATCATATTTTATAAGAAAAATTTAAGATAAATTAATAAATTAAATATATTTTAAATTAATTTATTTTTAAAAAAAATAGTTATTATAATAAATATTTTTACATAATTTACGTAATATATATATATATATATATATATATATATATTATTA